CCTGAGGAGCCCTGTCTGCCCCGACACCCTACCCAACTTGCCAATGGTGGACTCAAACGACGCTGACTGCCACCCTCCTCCTTCACCCAACCTCCATCATCAACTGTGTCCCTCACCCACAGCTCCCTGGACTCACTGCCTTTCCCCGCCCCTTTCCTGCTGGCAGGAGCCAGCCGCCTACTTGAGGCCTTCCTGTGTGGCCTGCCTGCACCCACTGAGCTCTCTCTCTTCCTCCTCTTCCTCTCAACCTGCTTGTGAGAGAGAGGAGTAAAGAGGCAGGTACTTGCTGGTGGCCACTTTGTTCTCTCCCAGGTGTTGGACCAAGACCCTTCCCTGTCACCCAGCCCTGCCTGGAAGATCGGGGAGTGGGTAGTGAGCAGGCATGCAAGTGAGAGCTTTACTGAGCTTTCTAGTATTGGTATTGTCTGTTTCACCTTAACCTGTCAGCCCCTTGCATTCTGGTGGCAGGTGCCTTGTCCTCAGGGCTACAGCTGTAGGGAGCTCAGTGCTTCGGCCTCAATTGAAGGTGACCTCTGCTCCAGATGGATGGTGCCAGTGGCTTATTAATTCCAATACTAATTTGCTTTGCTGACCAAATTCCTGGTACCAGAGGATGATGAGGCAAAGACTGGGAGCAGTGATGTGGCCCTGGGGCCCAGCCCTGAACTGGGGGCTTTGTACATAGCTACGAAGAAAACACAAAGTGTATAAATCTGAGTATATATTTACATGTCTTTTTAAAAGGGTCGTTACCAGAGATTTACCCATTGGGTAAGATGCTCCTGGTGGTTGGGAGGCATCAGTTGCTATATATTAAAAAAAAAAAAAGGAAAAAAAAAGAAAAAGAAAAAAAAAGGAAAATGTTTTTAAAAAGGTCATATATTTTTTGCTACTTTTGCTGTTTTATTTTTTTAAATTATGTTCTAAACCTATTTTCAGTTTAGGTCCCTCAATAAAATTTGCTGCTGCTTCATTTTTATATGGGCTGTGTGAAAAGGGAGCAACTGAACACAGGAAAGGAGGGAGACTGAGGGCCCCGGGGCTGTCTGTCCAGTCCAGCAGGCACCATGTTCCCTGCAGTTCCCTTGTAACCTCTTCCTCCTAGGTCGTGCACCCAGACCTCCAGAACAAACCTCCTACCTCTCCCATGCTTTTGGAAAGGCAGGAAAAGAAGATGTCTGCATCTTGGCAGGAACTGTGCCCCAGAGGTACTGGGCAGGGAGCCAAGACTGAGCAGCCCACAACCACAGATTGTTTCCTCAGAGGAAGCAGGGAAGGGGCCACAGAGAGGAAAGGCCTTGGAACAGCCAAGGGGTAAAATCTACAGTGACTGAGAGGAAAGCTAAGGATTGTTCAGAAGGGTCTGCTAAGACTCAGGCCCAGATAGGCAGCTCCCCCAACACCCAGGATGTGGGTGTGGCTTGGCCTGTGCATCTGAGTGAAGGAAAACTTGTCGTGTACTTCAACATTCAGGTCCCTTGCTTTATCTTTTCCAGACTCCTCTGTTCATTATTGTCCCCCAAACCATTCTTCTGTATCTGTATGACCAGACTGCATTTGTTGGGTCTATCACAGATCTTGGCTTCCTATAGTTCTTCCTCTACAAACTCCACCTCSTCCCTCAGGAAAGGGGGAAAAAAATTCTCTAAATGTTTTGTTTTTTGGCTGCTTGAAAGCTTCTGCCACCTGCTGGTTGTCACTGTCCTCACCAAGTGGATTCTGGCTCTTCTGTACCTTATTGTTCAACCTAGTACTACTCAGCCTGTCCTTTATTTAAGCTTGCTTTCTGCTGGGCTACTGCTGAATCAAAAATGGTCAGCATTTCTGTAGGGGAAATGGGATTGCTGCTTTAAATTTCCTTTCTGAGCTGGGCATATTTTGGCAGCAGCAGTGTTGGTAACCATTGTACAATTTTCTGTCTTTGTTTTTCTCTGTAAATATGCAATTGTTGGCATATTGCCATTTGTGTTTATGTTTAAAGAAGGCATAATTTAGTGAACGGAACCAGGAAATGAATTTTAGCTCTTAAAATCATGTGCTTTGAGACCATATAGTAGTGTCTTTCCTTGTGGTGGTGGTAATATCTGCCTTGGCCCTACCTTGATATGATTTTGTTTGAGTGGATGGAGGCTCCAATGATTTTGTTTGAGTGGATGGAGGCTCTATAAAGGGCTTTATATGCCTGTAGGAGAGGTGCTAGAGAAATATAAGGCACTATTATTATAACAGTGATGTCCTTGCTATTACTACTCACAATCACCCACAAATTTCCCCAGAGGCTGGGTTGGCTGTCAAATAAAAGATAGTGAAATTGACCTGAGAGAAAATGAAATGGCCATTTTACTTAGATGACCAGATTGGTTCTCTTGGGGAAGGGAATCCAGTTTATCTAATGAAGACATTGTGCTGTCAAAGTGCTGAATCTGTCTGGTTTCCTGAGGGTTAAAAGATTAGGGCCTGGGATCACCACAGCATTAATCAATACTGCCTTTCCATCTTTCCTAATTGCCATAGGCTGAAGATCATCATTCCCTTGGCCCTGCTAATGTAATGTATTGATCTCAGGTAAGTAAGATTGAACATGAAATGAAGCAAGAAATCTATCTTAATGAAGTTACTGTGTCTGTCAGCCACCACTGGGTGGCGCCAGGAAGCTAAATTCGCACCATTAGGTAATGCATCGGTTTGCTTGGAAGTAACATTAGCCTGATCTTACCTGTGAATATGTACTGGTGGTGAATGGGAAGTCTTTAACCTAGGTTTAGCATTACAGAACACTGATTGGATATCACCAATATGACTTGTGATTAAAGTACAGTATTAAATGTGGCACCAGGGTAGGACCATAAAGGCCACAAACTCCTCTGTGTCTTRGCAGAATTCTCTGTGTGTGAGAAACAGGCCAAGTCTAACATCATTGGTTGTATGTTAGAGAATACCAGAAATCCATGAGGTCATTAGCAGGTGGTAGAGACAGGCACCTGCATCTGCAGAGAAGAGTAGAGAACAATGAGATAGAAAGGAGAGGGCTTTGAAGCAACCTGGTATTGCCTTCCATTCCCTCAGCTGATAAGCCAGGAAGGAGGAAGATCAACAAGAACCCAGGTGTTAAAGAAGTCTTGGTCTGAGGCAAGTTCCCTCTGGTTGACACTTTAGCAATATTCAGAACTGTCTGTATCATTCTGCCTCCAAGATGCATGTTTTGGCACATAGAAGTGATGCATTGAAAAACCCTGTGTTGTCAACTAGTTCAGCTGTCTCCTGTGACTCTATGAGGCCTAGAGCCAGTTGTGTGCTTTCTCAAAAGCCAGTTGGGCACGTCTCTTCCCAACTCTGCATTGTTCAGTGATTTCATATTGGTGGCCTAAAATCAGCCATGATAGAAGAATTACATCACTGAAACTTGCAAATGCTTCAAATCAGAGGAATGTTCCCCTCAGATTTGGTTGTTAATCATGCCAAAGCAACACCAGCCAGGTTTGGCATGGGGCTAAATCTAACAAYCGTGGAACCCAAAAGCCAAGCACCCTACGTGATGAGTATAAAGAAACATCCCTGAGTTTTCTTGGATGAGCTACTCACTTTTTAAGAGTGGAAGAGGGGGCTGGGGCTGTAGCTCAGTGGTAAAGCACTTGCCTCACATGTGTGAGGTGCTGGATTCAATCCTCAGCACCACATAAAAATAAATAGATACTGTGTGTTCATCTACAACTAAAAACATTAAAAAAAAAAAAAAAGAGTGGGAAGTGTGTCTTATATGCCCAGATGTTAGAAAAAACATGTGAAGGCCAACAAGCCAAAAGTGAACAGGGCTCCTCATATAACCATTCCCAATCAGCTCACAGGGAAGGGCAGAAAAGAATTTTAATACAGCCCAACAGTATATGCTAGTCATTCAACTGAAACAAACCTGAGCAAGTTAGCTTATTCATTTCCCGTATTTCATACCTGAAGTGTGGACTAATTCAAATAAACACCCATCATCTTAAAAATGGGAAAATTTATTGTGAAATCACTTGGCTCTGCCAATAGCAAGATCCATGGAATCCTATATTGCATAGTAGGGATTCTTCATCCTGAAGGAGCTGAAATTAACTGGTAGGACAGGGTGAACTTGTCCTCTGATGGAGAAGTTTAGGAAGCATTTTAAAGTGCATGAACTTGCTGTAAAATGCTGGTGATGTTTCTCAGATAGGTGGTTTCAGGTGAGGCAGATCTGCATTTTACTTGGTTTAATTGACTCCATCTAACTGTCTTGTTTCATAACAGGTAATCTAATTTCATCACTCAGAGACTAAAATATCTTTTCCCTTCTCAGTTCCCCAAAGGAAGAAAGCTCTTGGTCAGCTGCATAACTGTCTGTTCAGTTGTTTCACTATTAATAATAGTGAAAACACTAAATGTAAATAACTAAACATTATACTTGTTACTAAGTAGCATAGGGATTGTATTGGACTTTACCAACCCCTACGACTAACAAAGTCTTATTTGTGAGAGACAAACTGACAAAAAAAACACTCACCCAGCACAAATGGTTAAGCGTTAAACCCTTAATTATGTTTCTTAGCAAAATGGTGGCTAATGGAAGCCATATGTGCTAGAATAGTGGCCACCTCCCAGATTCCTACAGCCTTTGCAAGCCCAGGAGGAGGATGCCTCAGAACAGTTAAGCAGTAGCCAAGTCTTTGCCAGTCTGTTTAGCTTCCCATTTTCCCTTCTAAGAAGCTTTCCCTTTATATCTTGAAAAACCTTACTGAGAAGTATAACCATCCTGTTTCACAGGGTACTTTGTTTCTGTTCCTACTGATAGATCATTCTGAAAAAGTTGATTTAGGTGCTCTTAAAATGGGTTTTGAAGTCTCCAAGTTCTGACTCCAGACTCCAAACCATAGGAGGCAAAGATATCCAAGGTGCCAAGGTAATTCCATTATGCAAAATAATTTCCTTTCTTAAAAGACATGCACACAAATAGGAAACTGTTCAAAACAATACATGGTGGTGGGGGTGGGCTTTACAGTTTAGTGGGATGACATAATGGTACAGAGGAAATGACTTTGCAATTACATTTCTCTAAATGGCCTGAACTTGGTGTCACTGCTGACATCATCTGGAATGGTTACAAGGCCCCAAAGGACTGCTCCAAGGACTAAATGGCTGATCCTCTGTCTCAAACCAGATACTGTCTTAGCCTGAGGTCCTTCATGGGTGCCACTGCTGAGGGCTGATAGCTGGAGGGAGGGAGCTCCATCCTCAAGTAGTTCTTAGGCTCCTTTTGAATTAGCCATGCTGTTCTGGGATGTCTTCTGTGATTTGGCCTGGAGTGTCTAGGTAGAAAACACAGGCAATGGTTGCAATTAGATGTGTAAGTTCTATAGGAGTCCCTTTTTTCTTTTCCTAAAGTAATGACAGACTTGTTTTCCTAAAGTCAAATGAGGGTTTATAATTTACTTTGGTAATAAAAATGAAGAAGACAGGCAAACAAGGCCCCCAAGTACCTTGGGGATCACTTTCTCAATGTCATATTCACAGGTATCCTATGAGCAGCTTTGGTCCTCAGGGCCACTTCACAATTTAACTCTCTCATGATTTCCCTTACTGTTTATTTATATCATGCTTTCTACACTTGCCCCAAATTCTTTCACTCAAATGGGAAGAGTGATTAGATGAGTAATTTTTTATTTACAGGCATTTCTCCTAAAATTTTAATTGCTTTCCTACTAGTGTTTCCTAACATCAGAAGCCTGTGTAAAACACATAACATACAGAAAACTATTTCCATCTGGTTCATAAAAAAATAAGGATCCGCCTATTTTGTAATTAGCTTCTAGACTTAACATGTTTATGTCTGGTCCACCATTGCATTGGTTGGTAATTTTTTTCACTTTTGGATAATTGAGGTAAAAAAAATACATATAGTACTCTTATACAGATGACTAAAGTTCTGCCTATAACTTCCTGTTTGGATGACAGGAAGAATTGTGCAGTGTTTTGCAATGGTCATAATTATAGATTCTCACTACCCTTGGAGATAACTAAAGGGAAAGGTTTTTTGTATGCTTATTTTGTTTCTTGTTAGATACTTACAGCTTCTTTAGAAGAAGTAGTGGGTAATGAAATAGGTGTTGATAGTGTTATGGGTGATGATGGTACTAWTGGCAGTTGTGTAAATTCTTCATCCTTAAACATCAGAATTGAGAGTTGGATTACTGATTTAAAACAAAAGTAATGGTTACAATTAAGGATTATAATATTAAAACTAAAAATGCCATTATAATATAAATTAAACATTCATCAGAAAGATGGAAAGTGGTATCTTCTATCTAGCTTTTCAAATATAGCAATAAACTCTGGAGCAGAAAAAATTATAGAAAAGAAAAGGAAATTTTAATTTAAAAAAAAATGTGGGCTGGGGTTGTGGCTCAGCGGTAGAGCACTCACCTAGCATGTAAGAGGCCCTGAGTTCAATCCTCAGCACCACATAAAAATAAATAAATAAAATAAAGGTGTTGTCCAACACAACTAAAAAATAAATATTTTTAAAAATGTATAGTGGATCTACTCTCATGACTACCAAGAACAACTACTTCATATTCAGAAATAACTATTTCATATTCTCTCTTTTTTTTGGCAGTCCTGGGGATCAAACCTAGGGTCTTACACATGCTAAACAAGCATTCTACCACTGAGCTACATCCCCAGCCCATAACTGTTTCATATTCTGGTATAGAATTCAAAAGGCGAAATCTGGAGTCAAATTACATATAACCAAATGTTGAACTTTTTTTTTTTTTTTTTTGGTCAGTGCTGGAGATCAAACCCAGGGCCTTGCACATTCTAGGCAAGCGCTCAACTACTGAGCTATACCACCAGCCCCAGGTGTTAAACTTTCTTAGAAACAGATCAAACAGTACAATAAATATTCCTTAATAAGGAAATAAATTCAGTTTCATTAAGAGGATTAAAAATAGAGAAAATTAATGTAGCACTTTTTTTATATTTTTAACTTAATCAAGTGAGAAGTAATTGTCTAACCTTAGTTCCCTTCAATTGAGGTGCAGAATCTACCGTGTCCTCTTTGGAGTCAGGAGAAGTAGGTGATTCCACAGGATTGTCTGTCTTTGGAACCTAAGGAAAATAATATTTTACATAAGCATTAGTTTTCTGCTCTTCCTGAAACTCCAGTTCTTTTTACAGTAGTCAGTGCCTTTTAGCACAATTTGCTTTCCATTAAAATCCCTAACTTCCTCCTCAGACTACACCCTTATGAGTAACATATGAAATATGCCCTTGAAATAGCAACTTAGTATTACTATTTCTTTTTGAGTTTTGAGCTCTATATACAAATGTTACACTCTAATTAAATTCTAGTATTTGAAATCCTCAGTTATTAACAAGCCAGTGACTTGCCAATATTGGTACTATTCTCAATCTCAAAAAGAAGTTGCCATTTCTCAATTACTCATCAGTTTCTAATAGCACTGACATAGCCAAAATTGACATCTATTGGTTTTAGTATCATAGTAAATGGTAAATTTGCCTGACTAAAATATAGGTATTCCTTAGTAAAAGCTCCTAAAAAGCTAGGGGTSTAGCTCAGTGGTTAAAGTATATGCTTAGCATGGTCWAGGCCCTGGATGACAAGCAAAATGAGAAGAGGTAATAACAATAGATAATAGGTTAGATTAAGGAGCAACGATAAAATAGATAGCTAACCTATCATTAAAAATTATGTTAATTATCGGCTGGGGATGTGGCTCAAGCGGTAGCGCACTTGCCTGGCATGTGCAGGGTGCTGGGTTCAATCCTCAACACCACATAAAAAAAAASATGTTGTGTCCACCTGGGACTAAAAAATAAATATTAAAACAATTATATTAATTAGATTTGAAAAAACAAATATCACTATAATTTTTGGAAATAACTTCTTTTGTGTCCTTTGGAGGAAAGGGAGCTACCTAAATTCAAAGTCATAGAATCATATATATATTTTTTTTCTTTCTTTTTTTTTAGGCAAGTGCTCTACCACTGAGCCATAACTCCAGCCCTGATAGTATATGTTATTTATGGAGCCTAGTATGCTACTTATTTTCATTTTATAAAAAGAATAGAAGTTTAAAAACATGAATGAAAAGAACAACCAATAAAATTCCAAGGAGCTTGTCACTTTTACCATAATTCCTTTCTTACTCCAGAAAGTAACATCTTGATAAAAAGAGTTTATACCCATGTAGAATAATTTTGAGAATCCAAATTTTAGCCTGAGACATTGTGGTCCTCCAAGAAGATTCCTTTGCTCCCGAAAGTGGTCTGAGATGATAAAAAACAAAAAACCTTTGGTCTGTCTTGAATGGTTCCAGGAGTTTGATCCTGAACTCACTATCCTGCCTTCATGGTCTGTACAAAATTGCCCCTAACCTTCCTAGAACCTGCCCTGGACAAAGCCCCAAGTCAGATACTCTGTGGTAATACATAAAGGGAAAGCAGGGTGGCATTTCCTGAAGTAGATATTTCATGCTACAACTAATTATCCTTGTCTTGTCCTAGGGGATCAACCTCATATCTAAGATTTAAAATGACTGGACCTAGCTGGGTACAGCGACACAGGCCTGTAAATCCCAGCAGCTTGGGAGGCTGAGGCAGGAGGATCATGAGTTCAAAGCTAGCCTCAGCAACTTAGCAAGCTCCTAGGCAACTCAGTGAGACCCTGTCTCTAAATAAAATACAAAAAGGCCAAGAATGTGACTCAGTGGTTAAGTGCCCTTGGGTTCAATCCACTGTACAAAAAAAAAAAAAAGGCTGGTCTTCACTTTGAGTTGTATTTCCTTTCTTGCTTATGACAGTTCTGAGTCAGACTTGAAGCCACACAGTAGTGGAAAGCCCTTTCTGATGGGCTCGGAGCAAAGTGCTCCAGTGCTTTGGCCCATCCTGAGTTGGTTTTTCAGTGAAATAACAGGAGGAATAAAGTTACTGAGTTGAAGGCAAAAATAAAATGAGTAAGGAAATGAATTACTTTCTGTGTTAGTCCTTCTTTGCTTAAAAATCAATAGAAATTTAGACAAATGAAATAGGAACCATTCAGTAGAAAAAGGGAAGGCAGTGTGTATACGGGGGGCGGGGTAGAATCTGCTAATGAAAACTAGATAAGGAGGAAAAAAATACTCCTATTCATAAAATTCTTGTCTTTTGGATTAAAGGCAATAGGAGCCCTATGACAAGGTAGTCTTGAGTGCCCTTTTAGGGTTGGGGTTTGAGAGTGCTGGGGATTGAACCCAGAACCTCATGCATGCTAGGCAAGCACTTTACCACTGAGCTGAACCCGTAGCCTACTCTGAACTTTTTTTTTTTTTTAAGAATTATAAAGAAAATGTTAAAGCTAGTTGAGCCAAATTCCAAAAGAAATCCCAGGTGTGACAGTAAGGGGAAACAAAACAGTGGTGGAGAAGCCTTGGTTATAATGGACATATAGTTGATTCTCTCTAAACTCAATTACTCACTTCTCCACTTTGTGGTATTTCAATTGGCTTTGGTTTCACATCTATCAAGTAGAAGGTGCGCGATAGGAGCAGAAGGGAAGGAGGGACATTCTCCTTCAGGTGGAGGTCCAGCCACTGGACAAAGAGAATAAAACATGACAGAAACAATGTTAAAGGTGAAATGACCCACAGTCATCTACTGCTTCCCTGAGTTGCAACTCCCCCCACGCTGAACAAGTATAAAATCACCAGCCAACAGACTTCTCCCCCAGTGCTAGTACCTGGTACCTCCTGCTAGTACCTCCTGCCCCATACTTACATGCCCCCCCCCCACACACACACACAGTAGTGGGATCACTCAGACCCAGAGACAGAGYGATCAATTAAGTTCTCAATCCAATTATGATGAAAGTATTAAGCATCTTCTCTAAAACAAAAAGTGGCATGAACCATTAACCAAAAATTAGAATGAGGGTGAGATATAAATTTTTAGATATTAAGTCGGCCAAGCTTTAAAAAAAAAAGTTTTTAGACCATTTATATGTACACAAGAGACAATTAAAAAAATAAAACGCTTTCAATAAAAAAAATGTCTAGCATGCCTGTAATCCCAGCAGCTCGGGAGGCTAAGGCAGGAGGATCATGAGTTCAAAGCCAGCCTCAGCAACTCAGTGAGACCCTGTCTCTAAATAAAATACAAAATTGGGCTGGGGATGTGGCTCCATGGTTGAGTAACCCTGAGTTCAATCCCAGCTATCTCCCCCTACCCCCCCCCACCCAAAAAAAAAAGAACAAGTCTGTTTTTTCCACCATCTTTCCATGCTGCCATCATGGTGCACATAAATGTCCTGGCTGATGCTTTCAAGAGTATCAGTGTGCTGAAAAGAAGCAAATGCCAGGTCCTATTAGGCTGTGCTCCAAAGTCATCATCTGGCTTCTGTGATGATGAAGCATGGTTACATTGTTGGGTTTGAAATCACTGATGATCAGAGCTGGGAAAATTGTTGGGGACCTCACAGCTAGTTAAACAGCCTGTGATCAGCCCCAGGTTTAATGTGCAGCTCAAAGACATAGAAAAATGGCAGAATGATCTGCTGTCATCCCAAAAGTTTGGTTTCAATGCTCTGACTACCTAAACTGGCATTATGGACCAGGAAGAAGCAAGTCAAAAACACAGGAGGGAAAATCCTGGGATTCTATTTTAGGGTGTAAAACACAAAATTCCTTGATGGAAAAAAAGGCTTCCACCCCTATTCTCAAGGCACCTTCTTCCCTAGAAGGAACCTTTGGTACCAGGTGTGTGTGTGTGTGTGTGTGTATACACACACACACACACACACATATATATATATATAATATATATATGTATATATATATATATAATATTTTGTAATAGGGATTGAACTCAGAACCCAGAAGTGATTAACTGAGCCAGCCTTAACCATAATCCCCAGCCCCCCTTTTTTATGTGGTGCTGAGAATCAAACCCAGTGCCTCACGCATGCTAGGTGAGCGTGCTACAACTTGAGCCACGTGCCCAGCCCTCCCAGCCCTTTTTATTTATTTACTTATTTATTTTTATTTTGAGACAGGGTCTACCGAAGTTGCTTAGGGCCTCACCAAATTGCTGAGGCTGGCCTCAAACTTGCAATCCTCCTATCTCAGCCTCTCAAGTTGCCGAGATAACAGGTGTGCACCATCATGCCTGGCTGATTTATGTTTTTAATTTTTTACACAAAGGGTAATATGCACACAATTTTGTCCTTTGCTTTTTTTCCATTGAGATATTTTGGCAATTAATTCATGTCAGTAGATGTAGTACTGACTCTCTCTAAACACTAGCAAAAAATCTCATTATATGGAAATTTCATAGTTTATTTGATTGTCTTATCAATGATCTTCAGGTTGTTCCCAATTGTTTGCTATTATAAATRGTACTGCTGCACTGGATAATCTTATACATATTTCATTTTGCACATGTCCAAGAATATGGGATAAATTCCTAGAAGTAAAAGTGATGAGTCAAAGAGTATATGCATTTTTAAAGTTTGAAAGATGATGCCAAATTACTCTACATGGAGATTTTTACCAGCAATGCAAGAATGCCCCTTCATCCAAGCTCTTAACAACACAGTATGATTACAACCTCTGATCTTTGTCAATATAATAGTGAATGTGGCATCTCTTAGTTTTAATTTATCATATGAGTAAAGTTAAGATTGTTAAGTTTACCATTTTAAAATTTTCCTTTTTATGAATTAGACAACACAGGATTATCCTTAGTGGAATTCTTTAAGTAATATGTAATGTTAAATATGATCAATGATTATATTAATATCTTTGTTCCCTTGCTGGAGATTATAAAATTATATACCCTTTCAAGAGGGCAATTTGACAGTACAATAATCAATGACATTTAATACTCCATGTTTAAGAAATTCATGATCTCAAGTATTTCTATAATATGTTCATCTTCCAACCATAGTTGGTCTACATGTAAGAGGAAATAGCTACCTATTGTACTTTTTTAAATTATAAAAATGAGAATTTTAACAGGAGTTATTCCTTTGTTTTAAAGCATTGATATTTTTACTAAATTACTATCTGAAGGATAATATTAAGCATCTATTAGCAAAGCAAACGCTTAATTGGTTTGGAGCATTAATTGGGCACTACTAGGTAAGGTCCAGACATCTAGACAGGTTTACATCCATAAAGCGACTTGAATGAGAATTTCTGCCCAGACCCTTAGAGTCTCTGAAGTAGACAAAATTCTAASGTGGCCTCAAGGTTCCCTGGTGTACCCACACTTTCTCGAAGGTACTCAAACACTCTTCTAGGTATTATGAGAAGGGATTTGAGATTAAGGCCCCAAGTCAGCTGACCTTGAGATAAAGAACTTTTCCAGTTAGGCCTCACCTAATCACATAAACCCTTAAAATCTGGGGCTAGAGGTCAAAAGTGAGAAGTTTGATATTTGAAGTGTGAGGGGGATCTGTCATATAAGAAGTCCACTGCCAGCTTTGCAGATAGAGGCCAAGAGGTATGGCATAGAGGTAGCTCTTGGWGCTGACAGCAGTTCAAGGCTGGCAGCCATTGAGGAAACAAGGACTTCAGCCCTACAGCTACAGGGAGAGGGTTTCAGTCACTGAACTGAATGATCWTGGCAATGGACTCTTCCCCGTAGCCTTCAGAAAAGAACACAGCCTACATCTCTAACCTATAAACTGTGAACTAAGTTTCTATAACTGTAATTTGTAGTACAGTTATAGAAAACTAATATAATGTCCCATCCCAGTCAAAGTACAAAATAAAACTAACTTCTTCGGTATCCTGCTACTCAATGATATGAGGCAAAATATGYAAAATGGTTCACTTGTGCTATGGTTTAATCTTAAATGTCCCCCAAAAGCCCACGTGCTAAAGGCTTTGAGATGGTAGAACTTTTAGGAGGTAAGGCCTAGTGACGGGAAGTTAGGTCATTGGGGGCCTGCCCTTAAAGGGGATATTGAGATCAGGCCCTTCCCTTTTTCTTCCTGACCACCTTAAGATGAATGGAATGAATGGTTCCCTTGGAATAAATGTTCATCTTATCACTTTGAGATGAACAGACTTGTGCCATGATGAACTGTTTTGTCACAGTCCCAAAGCAATAAGACCAAGTGACCATGGACTGAAATCCATGAGGTAAAATGAACCTTCTGATAAATTAATTATCTTGGGCTGGTAGAGTGCTTGTCTTGCATGCACAAGGCCCTGGGCTCAATCCCCAATACTGGGGGCGGGGGGGAACCTCCTATATTTTGTCACAGCAATGGAAAGCTGACTAAAATAGCTTGCAAAGTAAATATCACAAGATGAGGTCTGCAAATCAGGGGAGATTTGCTCCAGAGAAGAGGGTCTGAGGGTGCTGCTGCTTGCCTCTGTGAGCTGTTGTTGAAGTTGTTCCTCAGTAAGACCCAGTGATCTCATCCCTCGGGCCCTACAAGCAGATTGTAGTTCTGACACACTCAAAGTCTTCACCCCTTCTTTGGCAATTATCTGCAAGAAATGTTAAGGAACAGTGTTAGATCTTTGTGTTCCAATTTTATCTAATTTGATTCCAGCAAATCAGTAGAAATCCAGAATTTGATAAGTTGATCCTTTGTCCCCTACATTGATTGCTGCAAAGACCAGAACCCTAAAAAAAAAGTCAAAGTGACTTAGAAAGGTGGTAGTTTAGATGAAGGAAATCCTGCTAACAGGTATTAATAACAGAGACCTTACTTTCTTTCTTACTTCTTTTTCTTTGTTTTGTTTTTCTTACTGGGGATTGAACCCATAGGCACTTAACTAGTGAGCCACATTCCCAATCACCACCATCCCCCCCCTTTTTTTGAGACAGAGTGTTGATAAGTTGTTTAGGACCTTGCTAAGTTGCTGAGGCAGGTCACTAACTTGCAGTCTTCCTACCTCCTGAATTGCTCAGCTTATAGGCATGTGCCACCATGTAATAATAGAGATATTTCTATAACTCCTTCCCAACATTTTATCAACAAAGTATTTCCCCTCTTGCATTTTGCATTGTCTGGTTGTAACATCTCCTTTCCCCTTTCATAGCATCTTTAGGGTTCATTAGAAAAAATGTTGTATTTGAAAAGCTTTCATGGTAACATCTGTTGCATGTCCCAGGATTATTTTTCCTCTGCTGTCCCCTAACACCACTGTGGGAATGGCTCTAACTGATCCACAAAACTGCCTCAATAAATAACAGTTTCTGCTTGATATAATCCCAAACTATGGTACCTCTGGTACCAGTATTGCTTATTCCAAAGTTCTGAAAGCACATGTAAAATCAAAATGAGACCAATGGAAACCAGGTGTGTTGGCACATGCCTGTAATCGCAGTGGCTCAGGAGGTTGAGACAGGAGGATCATGAGTTCAAAGCCAGCCTCAGCAATGGGTGAGGACTAAGCAACTCAGTAAGACCCTGTCTCTAAATAAAAAGTATAAAATAGGGCTGGAGATGTGGCTCAGTGATTGTGTGCCCCTGAGTTCAATCCCTAGTTTAAAAAAAAAAAAAATAGGCCAATAGGATCATGTTTTGCTTTCACGGTTCTGAGAAGCCTGCTCCCACAGGTAGAATACTTTATAACAGCTGATTTAGATTCAAGAAACACTCTTTCCATTTTTTTTAAGACATCTAATTAGTAGTTATATTCTAAATGGTGCTTTCTATAAGATGTCTAGGCTGTGCTTCTCCTTCCAGCATTATGCTTTACCACCCACTTCTAACCAGCCCAACTCACTCAGCAGAATATTTACTTTGGCACCAGCTCCTCAGTAGGGGAGCAGAGGTGTGCAGGGTAAAGCCTTGCCAGGAATCTACTGAGCTGCTATTTCCTTCCCAGCAGGTCCTAACTGCTTTAGATTAATCTCAGCTAAGACATCCAAATTACTGACTGCTTATGATGGCATTTTTAAGAAAATGGGTCCCAGTATAACAAACAATTTCTAAAATGATTGTTTAAACCACTCATTTTGCCAGCATCAATCCATGAGCAGACCCAACAGAAAATACTGCACTTCATCACAAAGGCATACTAAGATGCCTCCCAATGCTTTTCAAATCCTCTTCAGCTATGGTTAAGCTCTTACTTTATCATCTGCTTTTATAGACTTCAATGTCATCAGGAGCTGAAAGCGGAGCAAATTGTTGGTTCCAAAGGTCTGCAATTCTAGCAGTTTACAAAGGGCAACCAGCTGAGGTCGATCTAAGTGCTCCAGGGGTAGCTGATCCTCAAAGAATTTGGAAAAGCGAACTATCTCCTTTGTGCTGGGTTTGTGGCCTGTCTGGACCTAGGCAATGAAACAAAGAGGCTAATTAAAATGTATTTCCTACTAAATGTAACTTTCCCAATAGACCTTTGTGGGGGTGGGTATAAGGACTGAACTCAGGGGCACTCAGCCACTAAGCCACATCCTCATCCCTATTTTGTATTTTATKTAGAGACAGGGTCTCACTGAGTTGCTTAGTGCCTACTAAATTGCTRAGGCTGGCTTTGAATTCTCAATCCTCCTGCCCCAGCCTCCTGAGCTCCTGGGATTACAGGCGTGTGCTACCACGCCCAGCCCAGTAGACTTTTGAAATAGACAACAAAGCATTTATGAACATTATTTTCTTTCTTTTTTTTAAATTTTATTTTTGTAGTTGTAGATGGACAGAATGCCTTTATTTTATTTGTTTATTTTTATGTGGTGCTAAGGATGAAATCCAGTGCCTCACACATGCTAGGCAAACACTCTGCCACTGAGCTACAGCCCCAGCCCATRAACTTTGTTTTCTGTCTGGAACTGGAATCACCTGAAAAATAAAGAGAATTGTGCTGTTCTTTCCAAGAAGTTACTGTCAACACATTGATTACTTAAGCTTTCCTGCAAACTACTCTGTTTATGTTATATGATTACAATTAGTGTATTTTATAACATACATATTAGCATTTTCAAAGATTTGAACAATTTGGAAGATCCATGATGACATGCATTTTTCATATAACTCCAGCTCAGAAGTTGTTTGGTATGATATAAAAGACTAACACCTGTTTTACATAGGATGATAGCTGTGTAGAATCATCTCCCATATTGGCTCTGTTCCTCCTTGCCATTTCTGTAATTGTTTCTTGAAGGAATTTTGCTACTTCCAGTTTTGCAGCCATTTTCTTTTTCTGTTTTTCTTCCTTAATAGTAGAAGAGGAAAAAGTTAATCTTTCATGACTACAACTTGGCAAAGATGGAAGAAATAACTATCACTTTGTTATTGCATATCCCTATAACATGTAGTGTAATAATATTATTTGCAGGCCTAATTGGGATTCGTGAGAACCAGGGCAAATATAAAATAGCTTGTATTTGAAACTTGTTTCCTTAATCTTGCCTTCCTTCCTTCCTTACTTACTTSTGTACCAGGAATTGAACTCAGGGACACTCGACCACTGAGCCACATCCCCAACCCTATTTTGTATTTTATTTTTAGAGACGGGTCTCACTGAGTTGCTTAACACCTCGCCATCTTTCTGCCTCAGCCTCCCAAGCCGCTGGGATTACATGTGTGTGCCACTGCACCCAGTTTACATTTATTTCTCATTAATGAAATGTTCATTAGCATTTAAAAGATCCGAAATGTCCCCTCAGTGGAAGGCTTTATCATTATTTAGAAAGAGATACTATTTCTTAACCAACTAGGTTGCTACTTGAGCCAACTCCTGATCTGAATAGACCTGGATTTTGCTCTACAAAGACAAGGAAATCAATTCTACACTGAAGTAGCTTAGAGTCTAAATGGAAAATAGATATAGTTAATTATAATACAGAGAGTTAAGTGTTGTAGTACATATGAAGAAAAGCACTACACAAAGAGGAATAAAATGTACAATCTCAAGACAGTAGGTTACCAGTATTTCTTAATCCCTATTTTTCATAAAAAATCTATGTGGTAGCATTTTCAGTCTAACTATGGTTAGTGTGTTTGTGGGTGGAGAGAAATAGAAAAAAATATATCTATATCTAGCTATATCTATATTACATACATAGATGATTACATATGTAGATTATATAATTAGAATTTCCTGAGCAACTTAAAAACATACACATAAATACATATAATAAACATACATATGTATATATGGTTTATATATAATATGTAAATAAGTATTATGTTTTTATATATGTATGTACATATAAAAATGTTTTTTAAGTCACCTCTGATATTCTAATGATCATCCAATTAGAGGAATCATTGATTTTTAGATCTTAAAAGACTCAGCCAAAATGAAAATACACAATAGCAATAACATGGTGATTAGAATCTGTTTGGTCAATCACTCATATCCTTCCATCTACCCATTTATTTATTTATTTATTTGGTACCAGGGATTGAACTCAGGGGTACTTAACCACTGAGCGATATCTCCAGCATTTTTTTATATTGTATTTTGAGAGAGGGTCTTACTGAGTTGCTTAGGGCCTCTGTAAATTGCTGAGGTTGGCTTTGAACTCTCTATCCTCCCACCTTAGCCTCCCAAATTGCTCRGATTATAGGCACGACACCATTTATTTATTGAGTATGTACCATGTACTAGGTGCTCTAGATTAAAACTAGCATAAAAGAGATATGAGTTACTGTCCTCTTGGAACTTCTAATCTAGTGAGATGGACAAACATTAGTGACTAATGATGATCCAGTACTTCCACAAATTAACAGAAAAATAGAATGAATAAGTACTATGAAAGAGAAATGTATGGTTCTTATTTACTTATTATTATTTTTGTGTCTGGTACTAGGGATTGAACTCAAGTTTGCTCTACCACTGAGCTACACTTCAGACTCCCTGCCTTTTTTTTTTTTTTTTTAACTTTGGGACAGGGTCTCTCCAAATTGCTCAGGCTAGTCCTGAAACTGCAATACTCCTGCCTCAACCTCCAGAGCACTAAGATTACAGGGTTGCACCAGTGCCCAGACTAGAGAAATGCATGAGGAGCACAGAAAGCTCCTCCAACTCCCTCTCTGGAACACCACAAGTGTGTGTGTGTGTCTATGTGTATGTTTGGGGAAGGTATAGTGTTCAAAGGAGAGGTAATATTTAGATAAATCATTTCCCCTATTCCCCCCATCTTCCTATATCCACTAATACTTTCCTTGGAATGTTGTGGCATTAATTCTAAATGATGATTTTCTCCCTCCCTCCCCCCTCCCCCCCCCCTCTCTCTCTCTCCCAGTACTGGGGATGGAACCCACGGGTGCTCCACTGACCTACATCCTCAGCCTTTCTATTATTTATTTATTTATTTAAGGCAGGGTCTCACTAAATTGCTAAGGCTGGCCTGTAACTTGTGATCCTCCTGCCTCATCCTCTAGATCCTGCTTGGATTGTGCTATTCTTTCTATCCTGAATATCCTTTTCAAACTGTGGTAAAATTTCACTCTTTTTTTTAAGTCTCAGTTCTAAAGTTACCTCTTCTGTGAAATATTTCCCAGTATTACTGATTTAAAAGTTGCCCACTTTGTCCTCTAGTAGTTTTGTTCATACCTTCATATCACTGTCTAGTAGTCACAGAGAAAGGGAAAAGTGAAGGAATTGTGTCTGTTTTCTCATCCATCCCCTAGATTTTTTTTTTTTTTGATTGAACCTGGATTGAACCCAGGGCCTTGTGCATGCAAGGCAAGCACTCTACCAACTGTGCTATATCACCCAGCCCTCATCCATTCCCTTGACAGCAACACAGCACTAAAGGGTCTGTGTGGCTGAATAAATTCTACCTACTATTCAATTAGTTGCCATAGTGGGCTTTTGTTATCTTTTAATTTTTTCTAATTAAAATTCAGTAGGAAGGGATAATCTTTTAAAATAAATGGAACTAGAAAAACTGGATATCCACATGCAAAAAAAAATCTAGACACTGACATCACACCTTTCATAAAAATTAACTCTGAATGGATCATACACCTAAATGTAAAATGCAAAGCTCTGAAACTCCTAGAAAAAAAAAACAGGCGAAAAATCTATGTGACCTTGGGTTTGGTAATGAGTTTTTAGCTGCAATAGCAAAAGAATGATCCATGAAAGAAAAATTGATTAGATGGGCTTCATTAAGAGTGTTTGGAGGCCAGGGTTGTAGCTCAGTGGTAGAGTGCTTGCCTAGCATGCATGAGGCACTGGGTTTGATCCCTGGCACCACATTAAAAATAAATAAATAAAATAAAGGTATTGTGTCTATCTACAACTAAAAAATATTTAAAAGAGTGTTTGCTTTGTGGCAGACACTGGTCAGGAATGAAAAGACAGGAGACTAGGAGAAAATATTTGCAAAATGTTTGTCTAATAAAGGACTTTTTTCCAAAATATACAAAGACTCAAAACCACAATAAGAAACAAACCACCCAATTAAAAAAGTAGACAAAAGATCTGAATAACACCTCCTCAAAGAAGATACACAGATAGTAAATAGTTACATGAAAATATGCTCAACCTCATCTATCAGGAGAGAACTGTAAATTAAAGCAACAATGAAATACCAGTACAAACTACTAGAATGACTAATAGCTAAAGCATGGACAACATCAAATGTGGGAAAAGATGTACAATAACAGAACTCTCATTCATTCCTGGTAGCAATGCAAAATGGTACAGCTACTTTGGAAGACAGTTCAGTACTTTCATGTAAAACTAAACAGTATTACCATTTGATCCAGCTAGGTAAATACTCTCCTAAGTATTTATCCATATGAACTGAAAACTTTCATCCACATGAAAGCCTGAACACAATTATAGCAATTGTACTCATAATAGCCCCAAATTGGAATCAACCAATTTTCAACAGGTAAATGGATAAACTGTGGTATATCCATACACTGGATAAGACCTGGAAGAATTTTAAATGCATATTGCCAGAACTCAACTTAAGCTTCATCGTAAATATCCCTTTGCTTATCATGGTCAAAGTTCTGGGTTTGATCCCCAGTACCACCATACACTCCCAGCCAATCCTAAATTAGAAACACTACCTACTAGTGAGAAGCAGTCTCCTTCCCCAATCCCACCTCACAGCGCTAGGGATCCAACCCAGGACACTGAACATGCTACATCTCAACCACTGAGCTACATCTCCAATTCCCAAGAGAACCAGGCTTTCTTACTGAGTTTTTCTTTTCCTTTTTAGTACAGGGACTGGAACCCAGGGGCACTCTACCACTGAGCTATACCTCGAGCCTTCATTTCTAAATTTTGAGATAGGGTTTCAATAAGTTGCCAAGGCTGGCCTCCAACTTGTGATCCTCCTGCCTCAGCCTGCTGAGTTGCTGGGATTACAGGCATCAGCCACCACTGGCTCTTCCTGAGTTTCTTATTTGTCTGCAACTGATTTATTGTATAATTTTAGGCAATATTCTTAAAATTTTAATATATTTACCTATGGGTTATAACTATTTTTCAGAAGCCAGCCTAAAAAAGGCGATAGACTGCATGATTGCAAGTATATGACATTCTGGAAAAAGTAAAACTATAAGGATAGTAAAAGGATCAGTGGTTGCCATGGATTGGGGGGAGGAGCAAACAAGGAACAAATAGATGGAGCACAAAGGATATTTAGAGCAGTAAAACTATTCTGTGTGATGATATGAAGATAGATAGATGACATTATGCATTTACAAACTCTCCAAAAATGGTACACCACAAAAAGTAAACCCAAATGTCAAGTCTGAGATTTAATTAATGAATGTATCAATATGGTTTCTTTAGTTGTAACAAATGYACCACACTAGTGTAATATGGGGGATAGAAGTATATGGACATTCTCTACTTTCTGCCCAATTTTCCTGTAAACTTAAAAACTGTTCCAAAAAGTAAAGTCTAGTTTTTTAAAAGTTCAAAATTTCTACATACCTTTTTGGATTCACTTTCAAAAGTTGATGGCAACATCTCTGGGAAGAGTTTCAGAAACACTGGTATCAAGAATTCCATGAAAGGTACAATTATGAATACCATAAATGGAACCAAGCGGAAGAAATCGGCACAAGTTCTCAATAGCTAAAGAATTAAATGCAGAAGCAATATTTCATTATTTTATGATATGCCAAGAAAAAAAAGCCTGCCTTGGTTCTTAAACTGTTAAGAGTCAAGATGGGTTTTCTGCACCTGTTCATAAAATAGAAAGGTGGGGTTTTTCTCTTCACCATTTTTTGGTGGTACTGGGGATTAAAAACCCAGGGGTACTCTATCCATGAGCTATATCCTCTGTCCTTTTTATTTTTTGACAAAGAGTCTTGCTAAATTGTTGGAGACTGCCTCAAATTTGTGATCCTCCTGCTTTAGCCTCTGGAGTCCCTGGGATTACAGGTATATGCAACCACTCCCGGCTAACAGTACTTTGCATTTCTAATGCACATTAAACCTGAAATCTTTCAATCCTTGGAGAAATTTAAAAACATAACTATTCTATTGACAGATATAAAAAGCAATAAAGAATACTGCTTAAAGCTGTACAGCAAGTCAGCTGTAGACAAATAAGAAACTCAGTAAAAACTGGTTCTTTTGGGAATTGGGGATGAACCTCAGGGTAGAGCATTTACTTAGTACAAGGTCCTGGGTTGGATCCCTAGTACTGTGAGAAGAAACTCATTTTCACCAGTAGTTAACTATTCCTACTTTAGGATTTGAGATGGAAGGTGTTGGGGATCAAACCCAGAGCCTTGAACATGCAAGGCAAGCTACTTTGGGATATTTAAGATGATGTTTATGGGCTGGGGATATGGCTCGGTGGTAGACTGCTTGCCTGGAAAGCATGAGGCCCTGGGTTCAATCCCCAGTTCAAAAAAAAAAAAAAAAAAAAGATGAAGTTTGAGTTTAAAACTTGGTTCCCAAATAGTTCATTTAAATTTCACATCTTCTTGCTGGAATACGATTTTTGCCTACCCGTCGTCTCTCTCGTCTGGTCAGCACCTGTCCATGAAGTAGCCTCCAAGCCATTTTGGCAGCAATTTTGGTGTCAATCCAAAGTAAGTAGAATCCGTTGTAATAATATTTAAGTTCATCCATAATTTTTTGTCTGAGAGATCGCTTTCCTTCTTTAATATTTATCCCAATTTCTTCTGTGGTCTGAGGGCTTATCACCTTTGCCTTTTCTGGGGTTTGCTCCAGCTGAGGTTTACCAGGGTTCTGTTGTAGCCAGCAAGCTGATGTGTGTAACTTTTGTATTGGCCTAGTTCGTAAATGAAGTATTTTATTGCCTGACTGACTGGGATAACAGTACTTCTTGCTTCTATAGTTCTTCATATATGTCTTATTTAAATGAGAATCTGGCAAGTGAAGAAATGCAAGTGATGGGGAATAAGAGCAGATAGGATGGACAAAATGGCTAGGGAATCTGGAATAAAGAGTAACATTTCTGAGTTGAGCACATACTATTACAAACTTAAAGAATATTTTATCTATATTTTATTTTATTTATATTTTATCTAGTTAAAACTAAACTTTTTTAAGCTCAGACAGCTCCTATTTATTAGTGAATGAATTATTTTTTGTTGTGGTGGTGATGGTAGGGATATAACCTAGGACCTCACATATACTAAACACATACTAGACCATTGAGCTATACCATCAACCCCAAATATAATTTTTGCCTCAACTGATAAATAGTATGTTCTATGGTTGGATATGCTCTATGAGAAATATTAATAAGTTAATTTCTAAGAATAAATTGCTTAGAACTTAGAAGTCCTACAACCATTAACTTTAAAATCTACTAGCACACATCTATATGTCCGGGATTATGTTCAATAGTATTGTCTCCATGGACTACCATATTGTATCTTTAACCACTCTACTGACAATAGGAATGTTTTAATGAAACTTTCCATGGTCCCTGTGGGGGTTAACCAATCAAATAATACTACTTTGTCTATGTAATGTTTATGGACTCCCTTAAATGAGAGGCACTTACAACAGAAATGTCCTTTCATCTAAAATTTCTCAAGAACATTAGAAATTAAAATTAGAATTGGAGTCAAGGAACTCTATATTCTATCACAACAGCTTATAGCCTTTAGTTAAATAAGACCGTAAGATATATCCTTTTTCTATTCTTTCATTCTTTTTAAATTTTCTTTTTAAAGGCAGTCTCTTCTATGTTGCCTATATCATCTGCCCAGCCTGGCCCTGCACTTGAGATTCTCCTGCCTCAGGCTCCTAAGTAGCTGAGATTACAGGCTCAGGACATAAAGCTTATTTCTTTTTTACCCCAGTGCTGGGAATGGAACCCACAGTCTCATGCATGCCAGTCATGACTATACCCCCAGCCCTCCAGACTATTTTTGAAGTATCCCAAAATAAAAATATTCTTTGGATAACCAAAAGGGAAAATTTACAATGTGATAACACACCCTAATGAAATAGGAATTTGCCATAGAAGGGACTTGTTCATTAGTCATTTTACTCCTTTTTACATCAAAAGGCCTCATCAATTATAGAGGTGTCACTCTATAATTTTATGTGTGTATATATGTGGTACTGGGAATTAAACCCAGAGCCACTCTACCAATGAGCAATATATCCAGCCCTTTTTAATGTTTATTTTGAGACAGGGTTTACCTAAATTGCTGAAACTGGCCTCAAACTTGCAATCTTCCTGCTTCAGGCCCTAGTTGCTGGGATTACAGGCCAGTGTATCACTGCATCTGACTACATCTTCTACCTTACTTGTACCAGACCTCAACAAAACTACTCAGCCCAAGTTCTAAAGCATATAGAAGATTTTAGTAAGTTTACATTAAAATGTCAGCTTCCTAAGAACCAGCATAATCAAAAACCAACAAGATTTTAATTGTGCACTAAACCAATCCTTTTACACATATCCTTTCCATCCAGAAGAATGASGTTCATATACTTTTGGGGGTTGGGAAAATTCTAATGCTTACCTTGTACGGACAATAGCTAAGACTGAATTACAACTGTTGAATGCCATATTTATTTTTCTGTGAACAATTTTAACAAAGAGACCTAGACAAAAGAAGTAAACAATTTGGTATTTTAAAAAGACATCAATTAAACAATGAGTTACTAGCTATTGCAAGGGCAGAAAATTTGCATATTCAAAGTACAAAACCTCCTTCAAGTTCATTCTTAACAATTATTTTCTTAGCTCTGGATTTGAGTATGGAACTTTCAGATCCCAAAACACAGAAATGATCTCTAAGATAATGCTTAATGAAGAAGMTATGACCGTCAGACACATTTTTATTTCTGGTCAATATGTCTAGTAATCTTCCTTGGATGGTGGGCAGGTATTTAAGAAGATGAGACAAACACACCTATTTGTAGACTAGAATACAAGTAGAAAGCAGATACTCTGGATTTGTTTTCTTCTCCCCACCTTTTTCCTCCCCCCGTGGATTTGTTTTCTGTTAGCTTTTTCCATATTTGGCCAAGCTACCCCAAACCCTATAGCTTGAAAGTATTCACTAATCTCTTTTATGTAGCAGTAAAGATATGCATGGTGCCTATATTCAAGTGCAGGGAAAACGGCGCTAGCGATTTTCCAGAGCCCAAACTGAGCTTTCCTCCATCCAGCGGYGCTTTTCAGCTAGGGGCAGCAAGGAGCTGTAAGAACCCTTAATATCTCACACTATCTACTTGGCTTTCCTGCAACTGGGTTTAAAGGAGCATCAGGGTCTTTCCTGGATGGAAATCTTAACCACAGAGCTAGGATTTTGAACAGGGCTCAGCGTCTCTGGACCCAGCCCAACGGTGGAGGGTGCTTTGCTGGAGCGAGACAAGACCTGCTGGGGCGGTAAATCCCGTCTCCCGCCGGGCACTCCTGCGCTAGGCTGTGGACAACCACTTCCCAGGCTGGCGGACCCGGGCGCAGACAGGCCGGCCGGCAAGCCAGGCTTTTCGCACAGCCCCCACGCCCAGGGTTCTTGGGGTTACCTCTGCCGCTGGCACATCATTACCCAGGTGCAAACGCGCCCTCGGCTTCCTGGGTCAGCGACTTTCGCGCGCGTAGTACGTGGGTGGACTGTTGTGGGGTCTGGGGATTTTTGACTGTGTGTGCGCGGAGGTGGGGCGGATACAGGAACGATAACTCCTAGTGATCCGTGTGGTTGAAAATGAAGACGAGGAGAAGAGGGCTCTGGACACAGAAGAGAGACTTCGGAAGTGAAGCGCGGAAGGAGTGGGAAATGGAGGTTGAGCTCCAAAGTTTGGGAGGCCAGGGAAGAGGACGAGATCACTGGCTGAGGAGGGCGCGGTGGGAACTGGAAACTGTAGGGAAAACGGGGCGCTGATGGGAGGGGCAGGATGCACAGGGAGCGGGCTCCGGAGGGGAACACGCAGGCACGGTCCAAGTAACAGCCTGAGGACTTGGTCCGCCCACCCCTACCTCCTCGGCCGGGCTCCCGGGAACGGCCGCCCAGGTCCTCCCAGTTCCTTCCCAATTCCTCCCTTGGCCCTTCGAGCTAGAAGGGCCSGAGGCCAAGTCTCTATGACTCCACCTCTTGCCCCTCGCCCCGTGACGTCACTCTGAGTGACGACACCATCAACCAATGAACTCTCAAATTCTGTGGAGGGCGGGCGTCCTTCACCGGGGCCACCCAGGAGGCAGCAAGGTCTCCTCACCAGCGAAATGACTTCTCTGCTGGGTTTAGTTTAAAGAGCGTCTGTCTTGGAGGATCGAACACTGGCGTTTTTCTGACTGTCTACACCCTGTAATCTGTGGCTACCCCCCTGGGAAACCCCCGAGTGTAGGTTGGATTAAAGAGGCTCTTAGCCTAGCGTAATATGTCTGATAGTCGCCATGGTAACCATCCCGGAGTCACGAATGACATCATTTTGATGTATTCTCCCTCTGGCCCTCGCCCCCCTCTAACTCCAAAACTGCCTACGGGGACTTGAGCCGGGAGGAGGTAGTGGGTGGCAGAAGGGCTTTTTTTTYCCTCCCCAGGCCCAAGGTTGGAATGCTGTGAAAGCTGCACCTGGAAAACTGGATTCCACTAAAAAATCTTTGCTTTATAAATGTTCTCTTTAACAAGCGTTGCTTATAATCAGTAGTTTGTGTAGAAATCTCTATATTTAAAATGTACATTATATGGGCTGTGAAATTAAGTATGCGCTGCAGGTTCAGGGGGCACTTCAGTTCCTAGAATGTGAAACTGAGCCATCTTGGAAAAGAGAACGATCTAGAAATATTCTTGTTCCCCAGTTATCTCTTCGTATCCATTTGATCTGGCTGTCTTTTAAAGGAAGAGAAAAATTTTAGTGGCTTTACCCTAACACCAGACAGCAAGGAATCGCTTTCTCGAAAAGAACGCCTTCTCTTCACATGTAAACCGGCTACATACTTTACTCATCTGGGCAGCACATTTGTAAGAATGAAAGATGGCGGGTATTAAATTTCAGTAAGAAGTGCAAACCGCTTTTAATCCACAAAGCATTTTTCAGCTAATAACCAAACGATTCAACTGTTAAATAGGCAAAACTTATCAGTTTGGCCACTAGAGGTCCCCTTGTGCATATCTGATGCCTAACTTTCCACATGAAGGTTTCACTTCACGTTCTATGTTTACTAGAATGAAAATCTACAAGGCTTCCCTCCTTTACCTTTCCGTCCCTGAAAATTCACGAGGGTAAATTTTGAATTTTAAAATATAGGTATAACTTTCATATTGATTTCACAAATTAACCACTGTTTTACCATAAACACATACTTTTCTGGAAAACATTATAAAGGATCCAAAAATATTTGCCCCTGGTTCACTGGGAGACATTTTATATTAGGAAATATTCCTATTCATGTATTGTATTCATTTATAACCAGGCACAGTGAAAATCATTAAGTATTCATAAACCAGATGAACAATTCCATGCCTAGCATTTGAAAGATGAGCTAGGTTTTCTACTACGGCCATATGTCAGCAACTCTATTCTAAAAGAGTGAAGGGTTAAAAACCCTTCTTACTGAAATCCATTTGTTCAAAGTAATGTCTATTTTTTCCTATTATCAAGTTTGGCAATATCTTTGACTTTCAGGATACATGATTTGATATTTAAGGAGTTTTTGTATAAAATCATCAAAAGAGAAACTAAAAAACTTTTTCCCTATAACTATGGCTCAGAGAACCATTTTAGATTTCTGTCTTGATTAACTGTCTGCTCCTTTACTATGGAGAAGAGTAAGCATATACTAAACCTCAGAAGATGTTAGATGATGTGAATTGTTACTTTTAGTGCTCATTTCCCTAAATATTAACTGCACTCAATGTTTTACAGAGAAGACCACATGCATCTACTTCACATAATATCAAATTTAAACTTTTATTGTCATCATAGCTATTAGAAACTGGCTAAAATAGAATCCCTGGGGACAATTTACAAAATTCTCCTCAAGGGGAAAATCCAGGTACCAGGTCAAGATGATAGTTTATCTACAAAGCATGGAGTTTACAGGCAGATTGAAAAAGGAGGATAGAGGCAGAGAGGAACATAGGAAAAAAAAAAAAAGACAAATTTAGCCCCTTACTAGAAGATAGAATCAAGTGACTCAGGTGGCTCCCTTAAGCTATCTTTTAAGAGACATATTTATAATAAAAATGTGTTTTATGGATTCATTTAACTATGAATTACACAAAGTGTAGGTTTAAAAATAGTTTAAAGTTCTGGGTTGTGGTGTTCCCTTTAGTCCCAGCTTGGGAGGCCAACGCAGGAGCTTTGCTTGAACCCAGGAGCAGGCCAGGCTGGGCAACATAGTGAGAATCCATCTCAAAATAAATAAAATTAACAGAAATGAATAGGAATGGGAACTCTTAAWGCACAATATCAGCCTTACAGGATTAACAAACTAATAGATAATTAGTGCCCATTAAAATAATTGATCTCTGCTGGAAAGCCACACCTGTAACTCCAGCAACTTAGGAAGCTGAAGCAGGAGGATTGCAGGTTTGAAGACAGTCTGAGAAATTTAGGGAGTCCCTCAGCAACTTAGGGAGAACCTGTCCCAGAACAAAAAAATAAGAAGCAGCTCAGTGGTAAGGCACCCTGTGTTCAATTTCCATTATCAAAATAATAGTAACTGAMGTGTAGGAATCTTCTAACTTAAAGATGATAAAGAATTTCTTGTAATGGTACCAAATAGAGCACTACAATGCCTATCAAAAGTATGACGCCTAGTAATGATATAACTTTATAGTTCTCAGAGCAGACCGAGGACTACATATTAATTTCCTCATCTGATTGCTGCCTGTGTTTCCTTTGTACGTTCATGTTTCCGTGCTGCAACGTTCTAAGTCATTACCCAGGCTCCAGGAAATAACTACATCTGCACGCTCCTGTAAGACTCGTTTACTTTGTCACACACCTAAAACCTTCCATTGTTTTACATATTTTCCTAGAATGGGAAGGGCAAGAGGTTTACGGAGCATTACCGCCCTGTCCCTCTTCTTATTCTTATGTGAGTGGTCTAGGACAAACGCTTTAGCGTCACTGAGTGTGAAGGTCTGGCCAGAGCGGCGAGGGCCCGGGCACGTGACTGGCACCGGGCGCTTTCTGGCCCTGGCAGTCTGGGAGGTAGTCGGCGCTGACGTCCTGCTGTCTACCCACAAGCCTCCGGGCCCCAGTGCAAGCAGGAAGAAGGCGTGCGGGCCCGGTGCCTGCTCTAGGGAGGTCGGGGTGCTTCCTGAGCGAAACCGGGACGCCGCCCAGGCCTTCTGATGCTTGTAGACTGAAGACCATGCGACACTCGCACCCAGGGCCGAAAAAGAGACTGCCCCATCCCCCGACTTAAGTCCTAAACTGCTACCAGTGCTCCCGGCTGCAGACCCTCGTGGACTAGGGCGCGCTTCCCTGACAGCTGTCGGACGGAGACAGCCAAGAAAGCTCTGAGTCGTTACGCTTTTTCCTGGTCTTCTTAACTAGATACTCGTTTGTGCCAGTCCGAGGAGTACCACATGGTGTTTAATAAGTGTGTTATCTGATAAGTATCAAAGAACACGCACAACCACAGTTTTGCCTCAGGACCAACCCTAACCCGCCCCCCTGTCTTCTAGTTTCATTTGCATTCCAGCCCCTTCGCATCATTCTTTCCTGACCCTTTGCCTTATCGCCCGCGGTCTCCTGTCTGGTCTAGACACCCTCGCGCCGTTCGCACTGCTGGTTCTAGCTCCCGCCTCTCTCCTCCCGGGGCTGACGAGCCTCTTCCTCCTTTCGCCCCCTGTACCCCAAACCTGGGACTGCATTTCCCGGCAGGCGCCGCGGCGCGCGGCCAATGAGGGGCTGAGGATTTGGCGGCGGCGGCGCCCCGAGAGTCGGGGTGGGGGGGCTTTGTGCGCGGCGGCGGCGACGGCGGCGGGAGCGGGCAGCGGGAGCGGGCGGCATCGGCCAGCACGGAGGCGGAGGCCGAGGGGGCTGTGCACAGGTCGCTGCGGACAGGCGTGAGAATTCTGAGTGGAACTCGAGGACCCTGCTGCCCCGGTTGGACCGCCCGCCACAGCTCCTCTCTGGCACCGGTGGCTGCTCGACGATCCCTGTCCCGCCACTTCCCCTTCCCACCCACCTCCCGCAGCCTTCCTCCTCCCCTCAGCGTGCCCGGCCCGGTCCGGCCGTGGCAGTCCTCGGTGCCGGCCGCCATGGCAGAGGCGTCCGGCGCGGAGGAAATCTAGTCCGGGGATTTCATGCGGCCTAGCTTGGTTCCGTCTCCTCCCCCCGCGGCCCCGGCAGCTGTCTGCACCCCAGCCCCATCCCGGGCCTCCGTGTCTCTCCTGTGATCGTACTGACACGGCCGGGGGGTTAGAATGGAACAAACTGAAGGTAAAGTAAGTGTGTGTGTGTGTGTGTGTGTGTGTGTGTGTGTGTGTTGCACGGAAGTGCCGAGGAGGGAAAGATGGGGTGGGGGCTATCTAAGGATGGGGCACCAGTAGGGATAGAGACTCAGGAATGGGAGGAGAAGCGGGTGGCCTGAAAGGGTTCAAGGGTAGTCTAGAAGGAAGAGCAGATGGCAGGATGGGGGGTGTGGAGGGAATTGGGGGGTGGGGCAGGGGAAGTAGGATTGGGATTAGGGATGTAGTGGCGCTGAGCTGAGAATTGGGAGTAAAGGTAGGATGGGGGCGGGGATAAAGATAGGAACCGGGGAGGGGCAGAGAAAGAAGAGTTAGATTTGGAGAAGATTAGAGACCCGAGTGGACTGCGAAATAGGGAGGTCTGGGGGTGTAGTGTGGGAACTAGAAGAGGCTGGGGGAAAGGGATGGAATTTGATGGGGAAATGGGGCATCTTATGGGAATCAAGGGAGAAATAAGGAAATGAAGTGGAGAAAGAGATGGTTTAGAAAAAGGGATGAGAAATGATTAAGACAGAATGCAATAGGAGGATAGGAAATAGACGCAGGAAACTGGAAGACATAGGATTGGATTAGAGAAGGAAATTAACTGAATGTTGGAAAGGATGAGAACGATCCACCAAGCGTCACATAGTGGGAGGAAAAGGGAAGGGGGTTGTTAAAGTGTTAGAAAGGAAAGCCTTTTGTTCCTATATTTG